CAAACACTGAACCAAACTGGCTAGAGCTTGGGCAATCTTATTTGCTTTCATTAGCTCACAAGTAGTAAAAAGAAAGGATCCACAGAAGATATAGAAACAATCAAATTAGTTCACAGGTAGCAATAAGAAACCACCAAATAGAAAATATCTAGCACAATATTTGAAAGAAAAGCTACCATCTTTTATACTACAATATGGTCATATTCTTGGGGGAAATATTAATATAATAAAATCAACATATACTTGTCTAACATGCCATTTCTATACAGAGAAATCTCACTAGCTGCTGAATACCAAAAAAAGCTAGAGTAAAATTCAAAACCAAATAAAGATAAGGAAAAAGTGAAATTCTATAGGGTAATTTAGCTCTGGAACTTGTAATTGTCCTAAAGGCATCTCTGCCTCCTTGCAGCCAGAAGGACCCGTCTTAAGGAGCTATGCCTGTATCAGGGGCAAGAATCATGGTCTGGGGCAGTATTAGTCTCCTCTGGCTGCCACAGTAAAATATCACAGAGAGCACAGCATAAACAAATATTTATTTTCTCATAGTTCTGGAGGAAAGAAGTCCAACAATCAAGGTGTCAGAAAATTCCATTTCTGGTGAGGTCTCTCTTCCTGGTTTGCAGATGGCCACCTTTTTGCTGTGTCATACGACCTTTCCCAAGTGTGTAGAGTGCACTCTGTTGTCTCTTCCTCTTCTTATAAGGACACCAGTGCTAACAGATTAGGGCCCACCCTTATTACCTCATTTAACCTTAATTACCTCCTTAAAGGCCCTATCTCCAAATGTAGTCACATTGGGGGTTAGTGTTCTGACATATACATTTTGAGGGACAGAATTCAGTTCATAACAGGGACTGAGGTGGATGAGCAACAGGATTGGGGGATCTCCATAGGGAACCACTTTCAGTGAGTGAACTAGGAGACCACCCAAATTTTCTCTTCTTTCCTTGAAGGAGAGCTGGGAAGGGGGAAACAGTCTCCTCTAGGAATGCCATTCACGGCCCAACACTATGTTTAAGGATGAAATTCACACTACTTCTAAGTGTGTGTGAGAGTGCATGTGCTGAAGAACAGGGGAGGGAAAGGCGGGAATCCAAGGTGAACACTGACTTTGAAGTGGCCCAGGGTTAGCAGTGTCACAAGAAACAAACCAGTGGTTCTAGAAAGAGAAATCTTCTCTGTAGAAACATAAATTATAGGTTAAGTAGATTAGAAACAGTGAGAAGAAAGAATGAGTGAAGTGAGCAACAGAGTTAAAGAAACTATCCAGAATTTACAGGGATGGTCAAAATTTCACACAGAGACATAGATAGAAAATATGAATCAGAGATAAGGAGAACAGAGCGAGGCAGTAAAACCTAAGTCTAATTTGATACCTGAAAGGAGAGAATAGAGAGAATGAAGGAAGTACAATATTCAAAGAGATAAAAGTTGAGCCCTAACCTGTTTGGCTCAGTGGATAGAGCATTGGCCTGCAGACTGAAGAAGGGTCCTGGGTTCAATTCCAGTCAAGGGCATGTACCTTGGTTGTGGGCACATCCCCGGTCAGGGGTGTGTAGGAGGCAGCTGATAGATGTTTCTCTCTCATCGATGTTTCTGACTCTTTATCCCTCTCCCTTCCTCTCTATAAAAAAATCAATAAAATATATATATTTTTTAAAAAGTTGAGAATTTTTGGAATTTATGAAAGATACAAATTTGTAGATTCAAAAAACTCAATGAATCTGAACAGGATAATTTCAAATACTGAGAACAAATGACTGTCAATCCACCTAGCTAATTTTCAGGGATAATGAAATGGTAAACTTGTAGGTAAATCTAAATAAATATTGACTGCATAATTATTTTTGGAGTTAAACTGAGATAAAATAAATTCTAGATGCTAATTTTAAGTTGAGGGGGAAAATCAGACTTTGTTCAAAAGTCTCTTATGTTTAGAAAGAAAAATAAAGATTTTATGCTAACTATGCAAATTAAATTGGTAAGCACTAAAAGATAAAAATTGAGGGCTTTTTTACCTTCTAAAATAGTAGAGAAAAAATAAATGGAAAAAAAAACATACAACTTAATCTGAAAGAAGGCAAAAACCCCCGAAACAACCCACAAGGGCAGTAAGATAACAGAAAAAGTGTAACAAAATTATAATAAGATGATATAAGTAAACCCTAATATAGTAGTAAGTTCAATAAATATAGATTGATCAAACTCTCCAGGTAAAGGATAATCAGATAAAAAGAAAGAAAAATCACAGTTTTTAAGAGGCACATCTAAAACATAACAGAAAGGTCCAACAGAAGGATAAAGAAATACATATCATACAAATATTAACCAGCTGGTATGGCCTATATATTTGTTAAAGCATAGATTTTAAAGCAATGTAGAATGAAATAAAAACATTATTAGGAATAGAGGTCATGACTATGAATACAAAACTCAATTCTAAACTTGGAAGATAATTCTAAATTTGTATGTTCCTAATAACAAAGCTTCAAAATATACAAAACAAAAACAAAATTACAGGAAGAAAAAAATAAAAAAAATTTCAACACATCTTAGAATCTGAGTGATCAAATAGAAGGAAAAGCAACAGTGAAATGAAGACAATTTGAAAAACACAATTAGGAAGTTTGATCTAACAGACACCCAACAGCTGGGAAATATTTAGACTTTCAACCACTAAGAAAACATTTACAAAAACTGATCAAATTTAGGTCATAAGGAAAATAACAAATTTTGTCATATCAACTTTATATGGATCCATCTCTGACCACAATCCAATTAAAGCAGATATCAATAGTGAGAACAGAATTTAAAAATCTATAAGTTAGGAAATGAAACAAAAGTAGCACATATGTAAGTCAAAAAAGAATCATTATAAAAAATAGAAAACACTTAGAACTTAAAAAACAAAATATTTCTATAGGACTTAAGCATTATTCAAAAGAAAATCATCGTGTGAGCTACACAGAACCCCTCTTATCTCTGCTCAATGGCATAAACAGCAAAAATGTTGGAAATTATGTAATTACCATATTAAAGCTAATATATATGTATAATACATATAAAAAGTGATTTGTAGATTGAGAAATATAAATGAAAGTGCTCACTACTAGAGTATTAAAAGGGAGGCAAACCAACCATCTCTTTTAGAAGTTATACTGAATAGCTAAAGAGAGAAGTTGGTATCTTAAATGTTTAAAAGTCAAAAAGCCAATTATTTCATTTTGGTTTAAGAAGTCCCTTAATCCTTATATAGTATATACAAACTCATATGGTAAAGTACTTATTATTCCTATGAGATGGACAAATACTATCAGAAATCCTTGTTGCACCAGTTGAGTAACCACAGTTAAGAATACATTCCTGCTCACACAGTCCTGATTTCTTGGTTATAGAGTCTATTCAATGGTGCATTGGCAATTAATAGCATTCCAAAAACTGCCTATAGTACAAAGGGAATTTTCATTTAAGGCTCCCCTTGCTTTTCATGTGTGGGATATTTTTGAAAGTATGTGTTTTTTTCCATCCACTGAAAGAGAATTAAGAAAATTCCAACATGCCTCTGTGTCAGCAAGAGCCCTTTTGAGTCCAGGTACCAGAGGATGATTGATGAACCTGTCAAGCCTACAGTAGCGGACAGAGAAAGTTGGCAGAAGTTCAGTGTTATTGAAAGAAATCTCAAATACTTATTTCATCTCCTCTATTAACTTTAATCACATTTTCAACATGCAGCCAAGAATGCAGCTTTGACAGTACGCCATAAATTTACACAAGCCAGCATTGTCACTTTCTGCTCTAGTAAGACTGAGATACATGAGAGAGTTGGATATGTTCTTTCAGTGCCTTTCTTTATTGAAGAGCAATAAAAAACATTTGAAAGATTTATCCATACCTCAAATTCATTTGCTATAAACCTCTTGAAATATTGCATGTTATTATTTTTTTAAATATATTTTTATTGATTTTTTACAGAGAGGAAGGGAGAGGGATAGAGAGTTAGAAACATCGATGAGAGAGAAACATTGATCAGCTGCCTCCTGCACACTCCCTACTGGGGATGTGCCTGCAACCAAGGTACATGCCCTTGACCGGAATCGAACCTAGGATCTTTGAGTCCGCAGGACGACGCTCTATCCACTGAGCCAAACCGGTTAGGGCTTAAAATATTGCATTTAATTTTGCTTTGTTTACGGCAAATAAAAAATAACTTAATTCCTCAATTACACTGTTAAATGCAGATTTTTAAAGCTCACAGTGATGACTGAGTTGGTACATGTTTCATCATAGTACACCTGCTTATGAGAACAGACGCTAAACACTAAAAAGGATTTACATTTAACATGGATTATTTGCCATATGGGCAATTACTTCTGGCATATTCAGAGCCAGAATAATTGTATGATTCCAGAGGAACTCCTTGCAGATTTTGCTGATTACTCATTACACAGTTGAAACATTTTAGAGATTATTTGTCTTACAAAGCTCACCCACAGCAAAAGAGACACAAAAATGAGGTAAATACTATAGGCAAGATTATGGTTCTTGGAAAGGCTAAAAGTCAAACTATATTTTTGGTAAGCTTTTCCTTCTAAGCATGTTTTAAAAGCTGAAAGTATGAAGTGCTGGAAGGCCACAAAACTTAATAAGTGTGTCTTGTCATCAGTGAAACACATGGCATTATGCTGCACTGCAGACTCCGTAACCTTTCAGCAGTTCAATGACCAGCAGGGCCACCTTTGCTACAGTAGAGAGTGTTTTACTCTCACCTCTCATAAAGGTGATCTATGTTCCAAGGACCATTGTTTTTGTCTACATTACTGATGGAATAACACTCTACACATTCTTCCAATAGCCAAGGAGGCTAAAGCAGGCAACTATTATATCTGCTTTCTAAGCCACAATAATAAGCTAATATTAACCCTGTATAAGAATGAAATTATTTTTCTAAGAGGTCTATACTTACAGTTCTCTGAGATAATCAATAATAAGAAGACCAATTCTGATTAACAAAAAGTAAATTTATCCAATTTTTCTTCCTACTCTTGCCCAAATAATTATACATAGGCACTTAAACAGGAAAGATATAGCACTCTTTTTCCACTAAACATTTAATCAGTACTCCAGTAGAAGTTTCTTTCTCCTGATATGAGTGTCACTATATTGCTAAGCTTGAAGCAGAGGCTAAATGGTTTGATGAGAATAGTTAGTTCTTTGGGGCAAGTCAATGCTTTCACACTGTCGTGGTTCAAGTTCTCAAAAGGTTGAAAATTTTCCTAGGTCCTTCTTCATTTCAGCATATTGTTCTTTAAGCCTCTCCACAGCTTTTCTGTGCTCTTCATCCACTTCAGCCTGTTTGTTGTGTTGTTCTTTCATGAAATCTTCCCACTGGATTATATGCTGGTTTTCACTAGCTATTAAATGGTCATTATAAATCTGAGAAAAGAAAATTTGAAAGTCATGTGTCATTTTCCAGACAATTATTTTTCTATGCAGAAGAGACAAACATAACTTTAACTCTTGATATTTGGTTACTATAGCAATCACAGCTTGAAAATCACAATGATAAAACTGCATTATAGTTTTAATGTCCAACAAGAACACAACATATTAGAAACTTACTATGACTGAACATGGGTATCCACATTGTCAAAATTTCAAAAATGTCTAGTATTGTTAAATGACAAAATCAAATACAATTCAAGTAAACTTTCATACCTCTACTTCTCCTCAAATACCATTTAACTGCATATAACTTTTAAATCAAGCTTAAAGAATATATGCCAGAAATGATTATTATAAGAAATTAAAATGTATATCTTACACAAAATAGTTCTTTAAATGCATTAAAAATAATTATGCATTGTTAGTCACTCAAGAAATCTCTTCTGGTTCAGTTCCATTCCTTAAAGCAAACAAACTCCAAAAGCATAGCTGTCAAATATTTGGAGATGCTCCTTAATATTTCTATATGAGAATAAAATTTTTGCTTTTGAGGACCACAACAATAGAGATGAAACAATGTATAAGTAAAAAAGGCATGAATTTAGTATAATTTTAATGATTATCTTTGAATATGTACAACAATGAAAAATAACTTTATATCTCTGCCTCAAATATTCTACATACAACTTTAGAAGTTAAGTTTTGAGACAAGCTAAGTCCTATTCAACAAACAAGCAAAATATGATGATATAAACCATAGAAACCTACAAAACACCTAAAGCCATTACTAATCCCAGCACACTAATGTAGGCACCTGGTGTGCTTATGTACTGGCAGCTCAGCTGCTGGGAGAGAGCTATAGGAAAAGAGCCAACCAGGTTTTCATGTGGCCCATAAAGTCCTTGCTGCCTTACTTTCTCTCTTATCTGGGACATGATGAGAAGCAGAAGGAAGAGCTGGATAAGCCATCACGTTCTAAGTATTTATGAAATGCATATTTCTGTTAGCTGTTTTGTGTATCTTATCTACTTCTATAAACCTCTCTTACATGGTAACATTATTCTCATTTTACAGACGAAGAAATAAAGGCTTAAGGACACTAAATTTACTTCTCTATGGTCACTCAGCTATGAAGTTGCAGAGTCTCACTTAAGTCTTTCTAACACCTATGCCTTTTCTATCACAAAATGTAAATCAGATCTTTCCAGAGGAAGTTCTACATAGGTAGCTAAAGTCTCTTTCACAAGACCAAATAAAAAAGGCTATTGTGCCCTAACCGGTTTGGCTCAGTGGATAGAGCATCGGCCTGCGGACTGAAAGGTCCCAGATTCGATTCCAGTCAAGGGCACGAGCCTTGGTTGCAGGCACATCCCCAGTGTGGGGTATGCAGGAGGCAGCTGGTCGATGTTTCTCTCTTATCGATGTTTCTAACTCTCTATCTCTCTCCCTTCCTCTCTGTAAAAAATCAATAAAATACATTAAAAAAAAATAAGTAAATAAATAAATAAAATAAAATAAAAAAGGCTATTGCAAGAGCTTTTTCTGCCAATCCTATGTGAAGTTCCTCAGCACAGAGGCTTCTCAAGTAAAAAGAGGGTGAGGGTCTGAAGTTTGAGTTATAGTAAAACATTAGCCTAAAATATGTTCCATAGACTTTTGGAATTTAATAGGTATTACAGTAGTGAGGAGAGAAGGTTAAGGAGGGTTTTACAGATCCAATATGGTTGGGAAGCAGGTTAAGCAAAATCCAAAACATTACTTTTTAACTTTTTAGCCTCATGGATTGTAATTGTCCAAAATATACATAAAATAAATTATTTTCATAGAACTTTTGCACTATTAAATGAGAAAGCCATTAGACTAAAAAGAAAAGACAACGGCAAATAAACTTCCTAAAAATGGTATCTCGTTTTAGCTGTAAATTAATTTTTAATAAATACAGAGAACATTAACATCCAACCTCAGATGTTATTTAAAAATTTATTATTTTATTTTTAATCAAAACACCATAATTGGCTCAGCTGACCCTGTGATTTGGACCTGGTTCCACTTCCCCTCAGGAAGCTCAACAGAGAAAGATGAAGATCTGGGAGGCAATAAACCTTGCTTCAAATTCTGGTTCACTTATTACCAGTTGTATGATGCTGAGCAAGTTAAAAAGTTTCTTTAACTTTAAAGTATTATTCATAAATAATATTTGTAAAAATCAGAGGTAATACATGTCAAGTTCCTAGCTCAGTGCCTGTGGTGCTTAATAAAAGATCAATATTATTATTATGCAAAATCACAAGTACCCTGGCCGGTGTGATTCAGTTGGTTGGATGTTGTCCTATGCACCAAAGGTTGCTGGTTTGATTCCAGGTCAGGGCACATGCCTGGGTTGCAGGCTCAATCTCCAGTAGTGGGTGTGTAGGAGGTAAGCCCAATAGACGTTCCACTCTCACATCGATGTTCTTCCTCTCTCCCTCTCCTCCCCCCTGCCCCGCCCCAAATAATCAATAAATTAAAATAAAATCACAAGCAAAGAATCTGGAAGGCATGTCACACTACTTTTTATCCTCTCCAATTTAAGTTTTTTTGTTCTTTAACTGTAGTCATTTAATTTTAGTAATACTTTCTTATAGTAATTCGAACAATAGAAGTAGCTCAAATAAGTTTCCTCTTTCATTCCCATATTCACTTCAATCCCCTTTGATGATTCCACTGTATACTATTTTGCTATGTTGCCATTCAAACAGATTCACATTAAGTCTTATAGAAAGTGATAGTGCCCCTTCCCCCAACACATACACACCAAATCTTTTCCAAGTATTACCTTTTTTCCCTAGTATTATTAATAGTTTGATGGGTATTCAGAAGATTTTTACCTATATTTATACAACCATATATTTTTTTAACAACAAAATGAAGTCACATTACATATGACGGTTTGCAGCTTCCTTTTTTTTCAGTAATGATATAATCGGTACTAGTGGCAGACCAACAGCAGGAGGGTGGGTGAGCTCTGCCCTGGGTACAAGCAATCAGGGGGTGCAATGTCTGTACAGAATTTAAATCAATGACACAAAGAGTTGAAAGACCATCTTTTATTACCACCAGGCATGGCAATACTGAATAATGTCACTACTAAAATACTCCTAAACCAAAAATCTTGCTTTGGTTAATCGCCAACATTTATAGGGAACTCATACATCTTAACAAAAGGAAGATAAACAATCCAATCAAAAAATGGGCAAAGGACCTAAATAGACACTTTTCAAAAGAGGACATTCAGAAAGCCAAAAGACATGAAAACATGCTCAAAGTCACTAATCATCCGAGAGATGCAAATCAAAACAACAATGAGGTATCATCTCACACCTGTCAGAATGGCTATCATCAACAAATCAACAAACGACAAGTGCTGGAGAGAATGCGGAGAAAAGGGAACACTCGTGTACTGCTCGTGGGAATGCAGACTGGTGCAGCCACTATGGAAGACAGTATGGAGTTTCCTCAAAAAGTTAAAAATGGCCCTAACCGGTTTGGCTCAGTGGATAGAGCGCCAGCCTGCAGACTGAAGGGTCCCAGGTTCGATTCTGGTCAAAAGCATGTACCTTGGTTGCGGGCACATCCCCAGTAGGGAGTGTGCAGGAGGCAGCTGATTGATGTTTCTAACTCTCTATCCCTCTCCCTTCCACTCTGTAAAAAAAAATCAATAAAATATATTTTTTTAAAAAAAGTTAAAAATGGAACTCTCATTCGACCCAGTGATCCCACTTGTAGGAATATATCCCAAGAAACCAGAAACACCAATCAGAAAGGATATATCCATCCCTATGTTCATAGCAGCACAATTTACCATAGCGAAGATCTGGAAACAGCCTAAGTGCCCATTAGCAGGTGAATGGATTAGAAAATTGTGGTACATCTACACAATGGAATACTATGCTGCTGTAAAAAGGAAGGAATTCATACCATTCGCAACAGCATGGATGGAACTGGAGAGCATTATGCTAAGTGAAATAAGCCAGTTAATGAAAGAAAAATAAAGACCATTATAAACTGATGAGCAAAAATTGATACAGAGGAGGAGCAGCCTCGAACAGACTGTCAAACTACAGCCGGAAGGCTGGGGAGGGTTGGGGGGCAGGAGGGAGGGGTAAGAGATCAACCGAAGGACTTGTATGCATGCATATAAGCATAACCAATGGACATAAGACACTGGGGGGGGGGGGGAGCGGGAGATTGTCAAGTGGGGGGGGGGAAAGGAGACACATGTAGTACTCTTTGTAATACTTTAAGTAATAATAAAAAAAAATCTTGCTTTGGTCTAAGTCCTAAACAATTGCTGAGGTTGTTGAATTTTAACAATATATGTTACAAATTAACAGATTTTTATAGTTAATCTTTAATAAACATTGTATTCTACACTGGAGTTAATTTAGAGGACTCCCACTTTAAATAGCCAGTCCTGGACAAAGTTGAAATCAGCTGTTCATTTCAAATGTAAATTCCCAGTAGCTAAGAATCATTTCAGTTTTCTCTGGATGTTCAGCTTCTCCAACCTCTGGGTAATAAAATATTCTTGCATTTAACCAATGATGGCAGAGCAACTGCTGAAATAAAACCCGAATTAGTTTCAAATCTATCATTCTACATTACCATACCATTTTTTGTACGTAAATTTGTATGTTTTTATTTGTATTTACAATTTTTGTAATGCAGAAATATCAGGAACCATTAGAATAGTTTTCAAAGAAACAAAGACAGCATTGCAATTTCTGAATTTATTGTAAAATGTGATTTTTATAAATCTCTTCTAGACTTCATTTGAAAAACTTTTTGAAATGTATAATAAAAGTATTTTCAATAAACTATGAGTCAAAACAGATCGATAAAGCTGATATACTATTTTAAGTTGAATATTCAAAGGTCAAATTTGATGAAGTCATTAATAAATTTGCATAAGTTAAGAATTAAATGCAAACTATAATATTATTACCATTACT